TTCATTTCGCTGATTCGAGTTTAGAATTCAAGTTTTGTTACAGTAAAAACTCTCAGAAACAGTCACATCTAACTTTTTTGTTACAGTATAAAGCTCTCACACAACATCACATCTCAACTTGAATTAAAAACTTGAATTAGCGAACCGAACGGAAGTCTACTACAGATTACTAACCTAAAGCTTCCCTCTTTTGGAACGAGATTGTGTGAGTGAACATTGGTATCAACTCGGTGTCATTCAAATCATCGTCTCCGCTCCCTGATTCGTCCTCCGATTCTGACTCAGCATCCAAAGGAAAAACTTGACCTGAAGCCACCTGCGCGGTCGGAGTCTCACCATCTAAGTGGTCGAAAGAGTTTATAGTGGCACAGATGTGCCACTTTGCAGCGAGCCCTGTTATTGACTGCGCCTTGTGAGTCACTTTTGTCGCGCTTTGCAGGCATATGAAAAGCCCCGTGAGGATGCTTATAGAGCATAACTGCACCACAACAAAAACAACCAAGTATGTTTCGTCACTAGTATCATTGATGTGTCGCAATAAAACGGAATTGTGACAATGTGACAAGTAATCGGACTAATTAGTATTTCTATTGAATTCTATCTTTTGCTAATAACTACTAGGAAATGGTGATTACCGCGAGTTCCCCGGCTCTGAAAATGTTGACATGAGCATTGGATCTGGTTGTCATGAGGAGGGCAATGAGCTGACTTGCTGTGACTAAAATTAGAGATAGCAATATAAATAGTCGAAACCTGTGGCTTATTGTCCGAAGATGTCTTCTGATACTCAAATGATCAATCAGGATTGAACCCACATCAGTTTCTTTCTGAAAAACTCGAGCAAAATCTTCGAGTCTTAGGATTTGCAGATAACACATGATTTGGAAGAAAACGCATGCGAGGAAGATTATTGTGGTTCGGTAAAGCCATGAAAAGAGCTCAAACATGCACAAGATAGTGGAACTTAGATACCGATTCCCAAAATAAGGAATTTCTTTGGCTCCTGAGACGAACCACCAGATTTTGTAGGCGCTTTCAGCAGAAAAATAGACAAGGATAATCACAAGAAGGAACTTCATAGATTTCTGCCAAAAAGGGGGAAAAAAAAGGCAAGGAAATCACATTTAGGATGACATTTCACTTTAATATAAATATGGGAAATCAAGCAAACACTTGATTCGAAGCAAATTTGCCCACATCTCAACTCAATCACTAATACAAAAGTTGTTTGATATGTAAGTCTTCCTCATTTTGGACGGAAAAGGAGACTATTAGAGGCAAAAACTTCGCAAAGTTAAAGAAGATATATATTTATATATATATTTTTCATATCTAGACTCGAGAGAATTCGAGTTATACGACTTTTTTTTT